ATTGCCATCACGTCCAAATATACAAAGATATTAAGGGCAAAAAAATTCCAATGCAAGTGTGTATTTCCGGAAAAGAACGGGCCTTTGAAGCGGTAGGGTTTTAGTTTTCAGGAGGACATTTTTCCCGACTGATGGGATTTCGGAATAATGGGCTGTTGGAACAATGAGCACGTTGCAGCTAAAACCCCAAAAAGGTCGTTAAACAAACTTCATGTAACTTAATGATAGTCTCCTTTTGTGTTGTTTCTGTTTCCCTCAGCTCTAACCGAACCCGTCCCTACTCCATAATCGCCAGCTCCCAGCTGGGTCGAGACACCTACAAGGAGCAGTTTGTTTGTTTCTACAGGTACGAGACCCCGAGTGTCACCGTCCAGCTCCACATAAAGGAGCAGCTCACTCCTAAAGTAAAGCTGTTAGGAAGTGGTGCGATTTCAGTTTGTGGTACATGGTAACATGCAGAATCAGCAATCACACTGTGTCTTTCTCATGCAGCATACAAACACCTCATGTCTTCTACAATACAATATGTGTGTGTTTATGTGTGTGTGTGTCTCAGAGAGGATGAGGTGACGCTGGCAGCTTGTCACCAGTATGAAGACAATCAGGCTGGAGATGTGGACGCCTTCGCCAGAGAGCCCTTCATCCTGCGCTTCAGCTGTCCGACTACAGGTGTGAGCTGTGTGTTTCTGTAGGTGTTTGTGTCTGAACGGCTCCACGTGTGTCTTTTTAGTTTCTGCATCCTCTAACTTGTGTATTCCAGTTGTGAAAGATCTGGTGCTGATCCCAGTCCACACCAAGCCGGAGGACTCGGAGAAGGAGCTGGACGAGCTGCACGATGTGGTTGTCGCTATCAGGAAGAAGTGGGGAACTGATGTAGGTCCGCCAGTCAGACTCTTAAAGAAAGTGCCTCATAAATCAAATATGAGAGGGTGAAAGCAGTCGGATTTGTTTCCTTTATAACTCGAAGCAATTCAAAGCAGGTTTGGGAACTAATTTTAACTACAGAAACATTTGTATCCTCTGGTGTCACAAAATGTT